CCTGTCCCCCCACGCCTCTCGGGGAAAGGAGGGAGAAAAATTGCGAATGAAGTTGAGCCCGAGAAGAAGGGAAGGGTGGGCGGAAGGTGTTTTAAGATTCAGGTTTTTTTATCCTCTCCTACTCTGATTTGATTGGTAATAAATTAAACTAATTTACTCAAGTCGAGTCTGTTTTGCCCATGATGGTAACTGGTGAGTGATCTCTCCCTGTCCTTATCTTGACCCACAAGCCTTTCGGTATGTTTTCTTCCCCCTGTCCAGGTAAGGAGGGGAGTGATAAGGGAGCTTTGCTGGGCACCTGGTGTCCATCAAGGTCAACCCACCACAGGTAAATACAAGGTACAGACATGGTATTATCTGTATTCTAACACATTTAGGTATCTCTCCAAGCACTGACACCCAACTGAGTCATTTTGATGAACCATTCCCGTGTGCTGCAAAGCTTTCACTTGCTGCTTGCAGAAGAGCAGGGAGAAAGGGTGGCTGCACACCATCAAACAGGAAACGCAAGAAACTCCCAGGCAAAGTTTGCTTTCTGGTGCCATGTGAAGCGGGTAGCATTTTGTGGCAGTGCTGTCAATCAGACCTGCCCCTGCCTTTGGGCATTGTTATCAGTGGGAGATCAGGGCTTCTCACCACCTTGTCCTTTGGGACTAAAAGGAGCACATCCAACTCCTACCAGCAATGAACTTGTCAGGACTCAGCCAGAAATGCTCAGCTTTTGCTGACATTTAAGTCCTTTCCTCCTTTTGTCTGCAATAATAACAAGAGTGAAGGAATGTATCCTTTCGTCAGTAGTACCTGGACAGCTAGTCTGTTTTGTGAAAACAAATTTAGAGCATCCTCATTTTGATCCTTTTTCACCAGGAAGTTTTTTGCTACTGGTCCTTGACAGTAGTACCTGGGATATAAATGATGTTCTGCTACTCTCCAGGGCTATCCCACTTTAGCAAAAGAGGACATAGCCAGGCCACTCAGAGATAGTCAGCACAACCCTTGATAATGCATTGCATTAATCTAGCACCCCATTTTGTAGAGACGAATTGTTGGCACACCGGCAACATGAACCACCTGTGTCCATGGAAGAGTGATACTTCTTTTGGAAGACCCAAAGACAAGAAGTGTTTCAGGTGGAAAATAACTTCTGACACTTGCCACTGGAAAGTTTTAAATAAGCCTTTATTCAGTCAGATAACAGAGACATTGATCAATGGCTATCCTGGGACAACGTGCATATTATAGAGGAACAGAGTAGAGTTTGCTGTTCTTATGCAACCTAAGGAACTTGGCTGTGGCTGAAAATCAAGAATACGCTGTGTGTTGGGCGGATTTTTAGGTCTACATTAAATCTCTAGCGCCACCTCAGTCAAGCCATTCCTACGTCTTTATGCTCTTAGCCTCTGTTCCTGTGTCATATGAAGGTCACATCAGCAATGTTAGTTGAACAGGTGAAGCACTCAGTATTGGCTCGGTTTTGTTTCATTGAAGTCAATGGTGGCTTTAGCAATGTAATTAAGCCCATATTTGCCACTTCTGCAAGCTCTCTCAGACAGCAAGATTTGAAGCATTGTTCACCTCTGCTCGTATGCCCCTACGCTGCAAAACCAGCTTGTTTGCACCCAGAGCACCTGACTCCTCTATATTCCAGCTCTTGTGAGCATTCTCACTTCTGCACATGCTACATTACCTCCCTCATGATCATCAAAGATACAGGACAATCTGCGCTAGTGATACAGTCTATGGATACGTGAAAGTGGGAGACTAAGACCAAGCGAGGATTCTGGGTGGGATCCTAGGAGTAGAAAATTCTGAGAGACAAATCAGAAAAAGTAAGTGGGGGAGCTGAGGTGGGAGGGAGAGTTTGGCCGGGCTAGGAGACTTCATAGGGCATATAGAGTGCTGGCCCTGCAGAAGAGACGGCTACAGTGGCAGGAGCAGGTGTATGAAGCTAGGGATTGGAAAGAACAAGGCTGAGCAGTTTGGGGCAGCTGAGGGTCTAGACCGGAGCCTAGAAATATCTAAGCCCTTTAGTCAGGTTCTTGGCCAGCCCAGAAGCCAATGGACAACCTCTGCTGTGTCTTCTATCTTC